ATTAGGTTCGAATTTTCGAACCGGACTTTTTGTCAGGTTCGAGTCTGGTTCAAGCTCGAACCGAACCAGACTCGAACCGAACCAGACTTTTTTTCGGAACCCTAATGGTAACAATATTCAAATTATATGAAAAAAGTCATATAATTTCAAATTCATCTAATAGAAATATATAATTAATTAATTTAAATTATTAAAAATATTAAATATAACAAAAGTGATTAATTATTAATAAAATAACTATATTATATAAATATTCTGATTATAATAACAGAAAATAAATAACAAAATCTGATTGAAACACTAATAAAAATATTGAAAAAATAATTTTATATATAATTTGAATTATTATTTCTAATTCTAATTTTAAAATTATTCTTTAATATTTATTTTTATTATTAGAATTTTCTGAAAACACACAATGCTATTGGTTATTTTTGTTATTATCAAATTAAAGAAATGATTAAAATCAGATATATCACATAATATATGACTATATAATTAAAAATTGATTTAAAGTTTAGAGTTAGAGCTTGAATTATAATCAAAATTATATATAAAATTGTTTTGTTGACATTTTTTATTAGTATATTAAAATAAATTTAAGTATTTGTTTTTCATTATTTTTTATATTTTGTTCACATTTTGAATTTGTTTTGTTGGACTAATAAAAAATTTACACATTTGTATTTGCCTGATTTTTTTATTTTTGGCTGATAATCATTAGTCAAAATTATCAAAAAAGAAATTAAATTATTATATTTGAAATTTTTGGTTGTTAATCTGGTCAAATATTTTTTAAAATTGGTCAAAATATCTAAATTTATTTAAACTAATTATTGGATATATCCAGCTTTAGCATATCTTTAAATTATATAGATATATTCATGTCATATATATAATACAAATATAACAATAAGGAAAAATCAAATAATTGATAAATTAACAAAAATTTATTATAACTTTTTTATAATTTTATTTTTTAGTTTATTGATTATTAAACTATGAAAAATTTTAAAAAATAATAAATAGTATTAATTTTAGTTATTATTTAAAAATTATATACATTTTGTTGTAGGGACCCCTTCCCCTTCCTCATTCTGAGATTTCATTTAACACATGCACGTGAGATTATATTAATACCTGAGATTTGCTCCCCCCACACTAATTAAAGGTTAAGGTTAGGAAGAGTTGGAGTAAGATTATATGTAAAATTGTCTTGCCGTCATTTTTTATTAGTGTTACAAGTTAGATTTAGCCGTATTTTTTGCATTGCTAATTTCTTGTGCGGATTTTTCCGGGTTGATCAAAAATTTGCGCATCTTCATTGGTTTCGAGATCGCCAGATATCGGAAAAATCACGTGAAGGGAAAATCGATCGTGGGTGAGCTGGGGTAGGACTAATAGTCGGACTAATTGGAGAGCTATTTATGTAATTTATAGATCGATTGCAAGATGAAGAAATATTCTGAAAACCACTTTAACAGTATCAACAACATTGCCCCGAGATTTGAAAGAATTGCAGGTTCAACCTCGAACTATTTATGAATCTGGGATAAACGCGACGTGTTTACGTTTTATTTGTAAAATCTTTATTTTTTTAAATCAACGAATTTCTATTAGTTTCAATGTACAAAAGAAACTCGCGTCTTGTAGCAAACCTTTTTCCAGGGCCTTATTAAAATAAATAATAACAAAGCAGAAGAAAAAACCAAAGAATACCTTTTAGATCAACAATCTATTTGTTAATTCACCTACAGAGAGTATTAAGAGATTAGTCCAATAATTATATATAAAGGTGTTGGAACCGCCGACCCCCATTAACACTACATTTCTCGTAAAGAGAACATATGCTATAGTATGGGCAACTAAGATGTTCCGTGTCAATTTACGCCATAAATTTTGACACTCCATTTTCATAAATGAAGAATATGGAGCAACACGATGGCAATGTATAAAAAATAAGCAGCTTCTTATATTTACCTGTCAGATAGATGTTGAAAACAATATTAAAAGTGATCTATACAGCGATTCTTGCATGCATCTATACTGCTAGAACAAGAGATCTCTTAACACGAACTTCATTATTATATATATAGCAGCTAAACGAGAAATGGAAACTACTAACCTAATAATACTTATCATAAACGTCTTCGTTTCCTTCGATTATTATTTTCCTCCTTGGATGTCTCTTCCTCAGCAAACAACTCTTTAACTTGTTCCATAAAAGATTTTTCCGGCATCTTTGGAGTTGGTTGCTTAATCAAGTCAGGAATTTTAAATTTACGACGCATAAATTTCGCATTTAATAATACAAATTGTCCCATAGAGAAGAAAGATGATGTTGCAATATACAGTACAACAGCCTATAGAATGGAAAATATCAACCAATTATAAAAGATAACCTATAATAGAATTGATCTATTGAATTTGAAACCAAAAAATTCAACCAACCGAAGGTAGTGAAGCTGTGATGAAAAATGAAAATACTCCTAATCCTCGAAATACATATTTCATCATTTGATTGACTTGGTTGCTTTTCTGAGCTGTATACTAGAATATAAATAGATTTATTAGTAACATTTATCAAAATGTAAAATCAAATAATAATTATTTAATTATTTACTATATAATCAAACCTCAATAATCGTTATAAATCCGAAACTTGATAAAAGAGGCAGCACGAAATACGGATCCTTCATGGTCAAATCCGTGAACCATGCAATGCCACCCTCTCGAAAGCCCGGCACAGGGAGATTACACATATCTCTTAACGCCATAAAGAAACTAATAAAAACCGGAGCTTGAAAGAGTCCAGCTCCAAGCATTTTTAGTGGATGAACATCGTTGGCTTTATAAATCTGGTGTAATTCCGAGGTTTTCTCCGCGACTATTTGTTGATCTTTTGCTCGATGTGCACTTTTGATTTGTTCCATTGTCTTTTGAATTACAGGGGACAAATTTGATAATTTGGCATTTCTTTGTGCAGATTTTATCGCAATTGGAAATAGTAAAAGACGAATAAGTAAAGTAGTGGCGACAATTGACCCCCACCAAGACAAATGAGTTAGAACATGGGTCGCTTCTAAAAGGGCTTCAATAGCACCGACCGGAGTATAATGAACTAAGCCAAGTGCTTTTAAATCTCCAATTTTCATCGCAGTATCAGAAACTGCGTTTATTGTCGTCGTTGGATCGACCACCTCAAGAAAAGATGCAGATGTTTCAATTGGTGGTGGTGGTGTTGCTGGTGTTGCTGCTGCTGCTGCTTGAGATTGAATTATTGGAGTAGTGGTATTCTGTATAGGATTTTCATTTATTGGTAAAATATGCGCCGTTGCCTCCACGGAATTCGATGGTGTTGTATAAGATCGACACGAATTCATGTAATTATATGTGTCATTGAATTTGAATTTGGGATTTATTGTCATTATCGATTTAGTTTGTCTTGATGTCTGAATAAAATATGATCGAACATATTTGTATTTTTGATGCTGAATTTTTAATGATGCGTGAGGACACGAAGAAAATATGTGTTGACTGGACAGAATAGAATACTATTTATTTTGTAAATGATGTAAATTAAGCAATAATTCTTGGTTTGAGATATTATTTACTCCTCGAGAAAGTAAAAACTTGCAAATTTCCCGACCTTTTTTGAACCTTCAAATAGTTTAGGTGAAGATAAAAGTCGTGTAAGGCTATTTTTTCGTCATAATTCAAGTTATAGCCCGATGTGATAGAGAATTGGAAAATCCACACAAGGATATCTTTTTCACTTACTTGGTATTAAAAGAACTTGACCGCCAATTTATAGCTACCGTCATGACTGTTATTTTGTTCTAAAAAAATTTTATTCGACGCGATAAATTTTTACGTTAGTCTCGTGTCACGTGAGATTTCATCAAGTGAATCCTATCTGCGCTGGAAAAAATTCGATTGGATTGGTCCGGTTTTAAACTGTCTGCACGCATGACGTAACGTAATTATATCTTGCGACCCAGATCACGGTTCTCATTAAAATAAAATATGTTAAAAATTGAGATCACGATTTTTACTTTATCGAGGTTGGACTATAGTCAAATTTTGGATGTTTCTACCACAAATATTTCTTGCTTTTCTATATTTATCCATTCCTCGCTTTACGCAAAGCCAGGAAACTCGAAATTAGAAAATCAACGCGAGAAATTCAATAAATCGATCCCCAAAGTAATTGTATAGAATTTTAGCCAAAAGCAAGAAATAGTAAAAAATAAAGCAATCAATCAAAAATAATTAATCAAATAGGTATTAGATCAAAAATATGTATGAACGTATTTAGCATTCATTTCTTTTCCTCGTTTACGTCTCGATATTCGGCCTCCGAACTGCTTTCAGCGGTACTTTCACTTCCTTTTGATTGTGCTTCCGCGCGCTATAATTGAAAAATTATGTTTAATTATAACACCTATATAGCTCATATAAACTTTATAAAGAAATCACAAAATTTATTTTAATACCTTTTTATATGCTAATTCGAATACTTTCAGTCCAGCTTGTTGTACTTCATTAATCTTGCTCTTGATCTCTTCTCCCTTTACACTAATCTGGCCACTTTGTGCTTGTGCGACAAACTCTCGCAATTCTTGGATTTTAGATTTTATTTTTTCTGATTCTTGAGCGTCAATTTGATCTTTATATTCTTCGAGATTTTTCTCAAGTTCGTGTGATGCCATATCTGCATGATTTGATGCTTCTATCACTTCTTTTCGTTCCTGATCGGATTTTGCATGTTGTTCGGCTTCGAGAATCATATTTTCTATTTCTCCTTTGCTTAAGCCAGATTGTGCAGCTATCGTAACTATAAAAAGAATTAAATCAGATCAAATCCTATTGTCATATAAAATATAGAATAAAGTTTAAACATACTTGATTGATCCTTTCCACTTGCTTTATCTTTTGCACCGACGTTAACAATACCGTCTGCATCAATGTCAAATGTCACTTCAATTTGAGGAACACCCTTTGGTGCCGGGGGGATTCCTGTCAATTGGAAGTTTCCGAGCATTTTATTATCTTTAACCAATTCACGTTCTCCTTGATAGACTTTGATTTCGACGGTCGTTTGTCCATCAGCTGCAGTTGAAAACACTTGAGATTTCTTTGTCGGAATTGTCGTGTTTCTGTTAATTAGACGTGTGAATACACCGCCAAGCGTTTCGATCCCGAGGGAAAGTGGAGTAACATCTAATAGTAAAATATCCGTGACTTCACCGGCGAGCACACCTCCCTAAAAATTTATTATATTTTGTCATTATATATCTTATGACATTTTCTTCAATTACTTGTATTTTACCTGGATGGCAGCTCCAATAGCAACTGCTTCATCGGGATTAACGCTTTTTGATGGTTCTCGCTTGAAGATTCCCTGGACTGTTTCGACCACTTTTGGCACACGCGTCATACCACCAACTAATATAACTTCATTAATCTCATTAGTATTGACATTGGCATCTTTCAAAGCTAGTTGACACGGTCGAATAGTTTTATCAATTAGTCCTTTGGTCAAAGATTCGAATGTAGCACGAGTTATTTTCATATTGATGTGTTTAGGTCCGGTAGCATCAGCTGTAATATATGGAAGATTTATATCGGTCTATAGAAATAATATATTTGAATTAACACGTATCCGCATGATGGGTAAATTTAGTTAATACGTTATTTAACATACCTGGATAGTAGACGATAGCTCAATCTTTGCTTTTTCTGCAGCTTCACGAATCCGTTGAATAGCCATAGGATCCTTGGTCAAATCAACGAATTGCTAAAGTATATACAATGTAAAGTATTATTGAACGAGTCATGTATGAAGTGATGTTAATATATCGCATACATACCTCTTTTTTAAATTGATCAACTATGTATTGGACTAAAGTGCTATCAAAATCTTCTCCACCAAGGTGGGTATTACCATTTGTTGATTTAACTTCGAATACTCCTTTTTGAATTTCTAATATACTAATATCAAATGTGCCACCACCCAGATCATAAACTGCTACAATTTTATCACCTATTTTATCTAAACCGTAGGCAAGCGCAGCAGCAGTCGGCTCATTGATCACACGAAGAACAGTAAGACCAGCAATCTGCCCGGCATCTTTTGTGGCTTGTCGTTGGGAATCATTGAAATAAGCAGGTACTGTAATAACGGCATTCTTTACGGTTTTACCCAAATATGATTCTAGATAGATAGATAGATAAAGATGCAAAATAAATACACAAACAAAGATATTCATTACATTTGAACAGTAATTTCTAATACGCACCTGCAGTTTCTTTCATTTTAGTCACTACAAAGGCACCTATTTGTGAAGGACTATATCGTTTCCCTCGTGAATCCAACCATGCATCTCCGTTCGTGTGTTCAACAATCTTGTATGGCACATGTCCAATATCATCTTGAACTTCTTTGTCCTTGAATTTACGTCCAATTAATCGTTTTGTGGCAAAAAACGTATTTTGAGGATTGACAACGGCCTATTTTAGCGGAGAAATAGGTTAAGTAAGCGAATTTCTATTAGAAGATAGAAAATTATGAATAACTAAAGATTTCAATTTGAGAATTTGACCAAAGTGAATTCTCGAACATGAAGCAGTCATAATGTGAGAATGATTCTTTAAATTGACTTTTATTGTGCACAATATTCCTTTTAATATGGTGATTGGCTTAATACGATTTTTAGTATAAATGGTAGTATCGAAATACCTGTCTTTTAGCGGGTAACCCAACTAATATTTCACTGTCTTTGGAAAAAGCAACAACAGAAGGTGTTGTTCGGCCACCTTCAGCATTTTCTATAACACGAGGCGTCTTCCCCTCCGTGACAGCTACACAACTATTTGTCGTGCCAAGATCAATGCCTACTACGTTACCCTGTACTTTTGAACTATTGCTTTAAATGTGATAAAGGATCATCTATTAGTTATCATCTAAATCAAATATAGATATTTTATAATGAGAAGTAATTGCAACCTTGCATCGCGACACCCTATATTTAGAGCTGATTTTCGCAAGCTCTAAGCAAGTAAAGTTAAACATTAATGAGCAATATGAGTTTATCAGGTAGAGTTCACCGCGTTAAGCCTCGACACCCTATAATTTACATACCAGTGAGCCAGCCGGGCTTACTTTTGGAAGTATTCCACGCGAAACGAAATTTCGACCGAGCTTTGATATGAGCATTGTTATAATAGTAAACTAGCAGATAACAAAAAACTTTTGTCAGCAAAAAATGTATAAATGAGTCATAGATCCATTGTCGATCCATTGTCAATCAATCATCGAACAAACGAATCCGTGTAACTTCGACTATCGCGCGGATAAACTTTGATTATTCACTTGAATTTTTCTGAATGAACTCATAAATAACGATGAATCGGTCAGGCTTTACAACCAAAGACTCGAAACCAAGCTCTAGTCTAAACGACTTTATGCCGTCATCTTTTCACCTGAATACCCTCACAAGCACAGTGTCAAGTACTGCCTCTATTCTATTTAACCCTTTAGCAACCCGAGCTGTCGTAAAAGGTGACACTGTCGCGATTATTTCTGAACTCGCACCTCAAATCTTGGACAAAAGGCGACTACAGACTCATGTAAACGGAAATTCTCGTAATTCAAACGAAGGCTCTAATCAGTTTTCTTCGACAACAACAACAGATCGAATCATGAGAAAAACTAGAACAATAAATATGGGCAAAATATTATCGGAGTCTGAGCTTCCCGAGTCAACAGCGCCATTATCGTTATTTCAAGGGTTTAAAGTCACTTATCCAGAATATTCCACTAGTTCGATAAAAGAAGGCAGTACCAAAAAGAAATCAAAACATCTTCAAAAACGAAAAACACGAGGACATTTCAGCGAAGATGGTTGTGCTTCAGTCGACGGGTTTTCAGATACAGGTACGAAAACTCTTCAATGAACCAAATCTATTCTATGTTATTACGTCTCATGTGCCAGATTATGCTTTAACATTAGCGTCCCATACTTGCGCTAGCCTCCATCGATAATGAATTCAAACCTCTAAATCAATTAATTGTTGACCGTGATCGAGTTATCCGTGAAAAAGATAAGCTAAATACTCGAGAGGTGATCAAAAAATTAATTATCCTCTGATAATTATTCGATTAATTTGTTAATGGTAAATTGATATTTAGGCACGGGAATCAGCAGAACTTAGTAGAATTGAATCACATATTAATGAATTGGAAAGGCAAAGAAGAGAACTAGAAATTAATCTCATAAAATTCCAAAATAGAAAAGAAGACCTTGCCGAAAAATGTAAAATTATATTAGTCAGGTGATTTTTATTTGATTTGCGAAATTTCGCCTTTATTAATTCACATAGCATTTAGTGGAGGACTTGAACGAAAGAATTGTAAATTATGGTCAAGAAGAAAACCATCGAATCGCTGAGAAACGAGGCCGCGGTTCAAAACGTAAGTTTATAGCGAAAACCAATTTTTCGATCTTCTTTTCCTATAATTCTTATAATTCTCAAGATATTTCTTTTTATTAGGTACATTAACTGTAAAACAATATGATCCAGGAACTTGTATTAAGGTGATTCATAGAATAGTTATTGTTTTTAAAGGCGGATAAATTTATTCAATTTGTTGTCGATCTTTTGGAAAATGATGCAAGACTTTAGAAGGTCATTGTAGCGTTATATCCTGTCTAGATCTTGACAAACCTGACGGGAAATTGGTCACTGCATCGGTGGATGATACACTACGCGTATGGGATTTGACAACCGGCAAATATATGGGAATATTAGATGGACATGAAGGTGATTTACTATTAAATATTAATAATTCAAGATACATCTACTTTTATTCAATAATTTATTTTCTGCTTTTATTCAATAATTTATTTTCTGCTTTCCAAATAGGAATTGTCAATTGCTTACAAGTAAACGGGAATCACCTTTTTACCGGATCAAGTGACCGAACTATTCGACAATGGAATCTCGACAAGATTTCTCATAAAACCTCGTCGACTGCCATTTCTCATCTTTCTTCACCTTTATTACGTGGTAATGGATTAGAACATTATGATAATCACGAAGAAATTAGTCACGAAGAAATTAGTCACGGAGAAATTAGTCACGAAGAAATTATGCATGAAGAAAATAATGATCATGAAAACATCGGCGAAAATGCTTGGATGGCTACTTTAGATGGGCATAGTGGGGAAATTACATGTCTCTATTGTGAAGATCAATATCTGGTAAGAATTAATTAACATTCTAGGGGGTTTTCGAACAAAAAAAATCGTACAAAATCAATTAAATAATTATTGTATTGCAGCTTTCAGGTTCTGCTGATAGAACCATGAAACAATGGGATATAGAAACTAGCCAATGTATTCTGACATTGGACATTTTGTGGGCTATTTCAAGCACCAAAGTAACCAGCGTACTTGGAGAAAATTTTGTATTGGACGAAGGGGATTTTGTAGGTGCATTGCAGTTCTGGAATTACGCGTTAGCTAGTGGTACCAGAGATGGAGCAATTCGGATGTGGGATTGTATGTTTTATTCTGATTTATTATTGTCCATAATCTTGATATTTTACATCACGATTCTAACATGTATTCTTTTAGTAAGAACTGGGCAAGTTCACAGGACTTTACTTGGTCATGCAGGTTTGTAGATTATATTATTTTGAATATCAAAAGTTTCACGTTGAGCATATTTTGGCACTAAATTAAAAAAAAAACCAGGTCCTATCACATCTCTCCAGTTCAATGAAATTCAGGTTGTAAGCGGTAGTTTGGACAGAAGCATAATGGTATACTTTTTACATTAAGTAACCAAATTTTTCGAGTTTTATTTGCATTAATTAATATTATTTCTGATCCACATCTTATATTTAAAAGATTTGGGATTTAAGAACAGGCACGGTATTCGATACACTCACTTATGCTCACGCTGTCACAGACTTGCAATTTGATGCAAATAAAATAGTGTGCGCAGCTGGTGACAGTGATGTTTTGGTAAATAAAATGGATATCTACATATTTTATTCTTTACTATCAAACCGATTTACTTAATTATATTATTTAAATAGATCTATAATCGCAATTCACTACAATACACTCATTACAAAGGTCACACTAAACCGGTAGAATGTATACGATACAAAAATAATTTGCTGGTGTCGGGGGGACGTGATTCTGTAGTGAAACTATGGAGTCTGTAACAAAATAAATATAATATATACATCTTTAATATTTAGAGATAATGGGAAATGGAAGTGGTTACTACGACAGGCAAGGATAAAGAATAAATGGAATTTGTACATAAACCTCTTTATTTTGGGTTTGTCCCGCTCTTTTTAGATAGCATTGATTATTATTACTATGCAATTAAGTAATAATAGCTCACAAACTACATTTGATTGTAATTGATTTCGTGAAGAAATACAATATTAAAATGACAAACAACCACACATAGTAAATAGATTGTGAATTAATCTGCGAAATCTGTACTTCGACGTCTTCTAGAAGAGTATTGTCTTCTTCTAGAGACGGCCACGAAATCATTTAAAACTCGTCTTTGTTTACTCCAGTCTTTCTCTTGAATTGCCCTATATATGTGAAATATGGTAATGATAATGGCGGTAATCAATTACTCGCTGTAAAAATTACTTGCATGACTTCAAGTTTACACATACCGACTGTATTCACTTATGAAAGTGTTTCGATCACTCTGGGTGACTCCGGTTTCAGGCAACCGCTGAACTACATCTGCCATCCATTGTTGACTTTCCATAGGTAAAATTCTTGCGAGTGATTTAAAGATATTATCCACGTCTATTTGTAGGTCTCTTGGGAAAGTGTGTAGAAGACCGTTAAGCATTCGACTAACTAATTCGATGCCGTGTTGACGAATCAACACTTCCAATGCTGTTATATCCGTGTTGGTATTGCCGAGTGTTGATTGCTGGTGGGTTAGGGAAATAGATGATGTGAGGTTGGCAGGTTGTGGTTCACGTAATGACACTCCGTATGATAATAGACGACTGAAAAATATCAAGACTGCGTAAAGTGCATCTGGTTGTTCTATTTCCAGACTTTGTAATCCTGCCTGAAATATGGGTGATAAAATAGATGAATGAATAAAAGTTGCAGGTACGCTATCAACCAATGCAATATTTAGACGAAAGTATTCCTCTATCACTATATTTTAAGTGTTTATTTATAAATGAAGTAAAAAGTGAGTTGTTGTGATTTTTTTTATCGGCAACAAATAGTTAAAATTGAAAAAAAACTCACCATCAGGAATATCAATCATTTTTTTTTCATTCAGAATTCGAAACGTTGTCACGCTTAAACTTTGAGCAAAAGAGAGCATCGTCAAAGTTACTTCACTTCCTTCACCGTCGATATGTTCGCGCACACACTTTGTAGCCACCCACAAATAACAACTTAAACCTGTTCGATCAAATGTAGTAACCAATCGTTCCATTAATGCATGAAGCAATGGGCGAAAATCATCACGATACGATACGACGCAATATTTAAAACATTTGCAAATCGCTTCGGAAAAGCATGCATGACCCCCAAAAGAAGCAAGCAGCTGATCAAAAACTGGCCACATTTCTTGTACAATAGAAATACATGGATGTATTTGTCCAGCAGGAGTTATTTGCGGAGGTTGAATTTCATCCCGCCGATCCGCAATAACTCGAATTGTTATTGCCAATTGATCCGTTTTTTCTGAAACAAAAGATCGCATAGATAAATACTAAGTGTTAATATAACAATTTTTATTATTGTACACTAACCACACGCCTCCTTAATATCTGGCTCGTTTGCAGTGGTTCCTTTATTAGCAATTTCCGCCAATTTCTGTGCAATTGGCAAACAGAACATTTGCAAAACATTTAATAATTCATTGGGAGGAACAGCAGCGATAACATGAGTAACAGCCTCTGTAACTTCAATCAGATCTACTCCATGTAAAGTTCTTGTGACAGTAAGATAGAAGGGATGAAGTTGCGGAAGGAATTCTATCAAAAGCTGCAAAAAATAAAATTATAAGTGATAAATAAAAGAATAATAATCATAATGTTATGAGTTCTATGTTCGCATACCTCACTACAGTCTTTACATAGAAATTTTAGTGCCAATGCTGCCGCAGCTGCAACTTCATCGTTGTCGAATCCCGACGAAATATATGTTAATTGATATGGAATGAATTCGGGATGCTTCCTGGTCCAATAAGAGTATCGTGAGATAACCAAAGTGGCTGCATATCGAATTTTGGGATGGTTGGGAAGTTGTGGAATAAGCTGCATTATCTGAGGTAATATAATATTTTCTTCTTCGTCTACTTCTGATCCCATTGCTCTTAATGAAAATAAAGGGGCCTCAATATCTTGCCAATCCACAGGTTTACCATTAGCCGCGTTCGCAAGCTGTGCTGACAAAGTAGCGTATGGTTTAGATAAGCATCGCTCTGAGCCTAGCAGAATACAGCAGTCTTTGAGTACATCTCCCATCACGTGACGGAATTCTCGAAACTCGTCGCGTTTCTGCGCGGTCCAATTAACGTCAAGCTTAGGATAATGCAAATGTCTGATCATCACATCCACCAGATTTGCAAATATATCATCAAATTTAGGTTTAATTTCGGCATGTCTAGGCTCATACAGAGTATCGGCTAAACGATGCCAAAAACCAAAAGTAATTCGAACGATTTCTGTATCATGGTACGCTGTACAATCAGCTATTGCCTCTACTATGTTTCGAAACCCTTCGGCGTGTTGAACGACTAACGGCAAATAAGATTCGCCGGCATGAGTAAAGATTCGGCAATAGCCACGAACTTTATCTTCTTCGTCCTCTGCTGTTATTGCGATTTTCAGTGGTTCTCTTAATGGTAATAATCGAGGATAAATTTGCTCAATCACCGGCAAAGAATCAGGAATATCTTGAGATTCTTGAATTATTTGACATACTACATCAACTGCATTATCGTATAACTCTTCTGACTGTAGTGCCTCAAAAGAAAGTCCTAGCAGAGGATTCGCTGCTAACGAGTTGATTGGAATATCTCCTGAATATAACCAACTCAATAAAACTTCGAAAACTTTTTTATGATATTCAGTATTCGATCCTAAATATATCAAATATAACCCACATCAATAAAAAATATTAATACACACACAAACATAACAATTTATTACCCGAGTTTTGAAGGCAGATTAGTAAGATCCGTAGAACCTCTTCTGCATTGTCTGTCAATAATTGTTTGGATCGAAGTTGATAATTTTCTTCCTGTAAGTCAAACGGAAAATAATGAGATGTTATCTTGCCAACTATAATTTTATCTATTTGATTATATCAAAACTCACTAATATAGGTATCCGACGGTTTTCATTCACCTCTTCCGGCAAAACTTTCAGAAACTCTAATAGGCAACTAACAGTTTCGGGATTATTGCCAAATACCGATGCAAACTGGGACAATACGTCATGCCACTCTAGCATTTGCAATGCTAATGCAGCAAGTGAAAGGCATATCTGGGTGATGATATTCCGCGGCCCAGCACGATATTGATACAGTAAATCCAAAAGGGAATCCCGAAGATCGTTGCGTCCGTTCGCGTCCAGCTGATGTAGATCATATATAATCTGCGACAAACCATAGACGACGCTTCAGTTTTTTAACAAATTTTGAGAGCAGCGAGATGCGTGCAAAGATATCTAAGAGATCAGTTTGGCTGATTAAAACCACTAGTCCCGGCGCTATCGCCACAAAGTTGATCTGACCCTTGTATAGCGCGACAACACACTTTTGGATCAAACAACTGTTCTCTCACCTTTGAGCGAAAGGTCCGTGCTGCGTGAAATTTAGCTTCTGGGTTTACGTCTGGCAGCCGTAGAATCTGGTCTACTATTGTCCATGCTTCTGGCTAGTCGAGCATAAGTATCAAAGTTAATAATGCAGAGAGTAATATTAATGCTGTTAACGGTTGAACAAATAAGAACTCACCGTTTTTTGAAAAGCTTGTAGCCATTCATTGGCCTGTTCCCTTTTGACTTTATCTGTTGACTGATATAAGGCATTAACTTGAATGAAAAATGACTTGGAAGTTGAATCAGTAGCCATTGTTCCTTTTTTGAATGCTCCAGAAATTAATTACACATTCGCAATGTAAAGGCTATCTTATGCTAGATTAGCCAATCATGACAATCATGACAATCATGACAATCATGAATATGCAAATTTTCATAAGAGCGAGAATAATGCATAGATTTTATTTACATTACCACATAATAATCATTATATAGTGTCAAACCTCTTATGTCAATTGTATAATATCTAATGCTAATACCTATCTCCATTAAAAATTTAAATCAAACTATATAGTGATAGTAGTCCTGTTCTTGCGTCCATGTTTTCTTTAGGAAACGGGCTGCTTTCAATAATTCGTTGCTCCATAAGGACTATTATCCTAATTTCCGATCTTGTTAGCAATAAATGCTTGGATTATGAAACATTAGAAGACATCTAACATTTTATCAGTTGAGCTTCATTTCTCAGTAACAATTCATTATCGTTATTGCTCCTTTCAGATGGAATAAATATCTGTGTCAAGATAACATACCAAATTCTAAATTTATCTGATTACACTAAAGACCATTATTTACTTTTGTAAAGTTAGACAGAAATCTTAGGGCGTCTCACTTCCACATTTAGAGATGGGTTAAAGCGTTGTACCCACGTGATCAATCACCGGTCAATGCTTTATAAGGTCAGGATAAGGGTTAAAGTTAGGATTGGAGTAAAGGTTATATGTAAAATTGTCTCCCCGACATTTTTAATTAATCTTTCAAACCAGGTTTACCCGGGTTGATCAAAAATTTATGCATATTTATTGGTTGATTTAGAAGACCCGGTGTGCAGTCAACCAATCAGCGATGGAAATTACTTGTATTCAATCAGAATTTTAGTAAATGTGGGGATGCGTTAAAGCGTTGTACCTTCAGGTAATCCATCAAATGAGGATGCGCAAATTTTGTTGAGCACCAATAAGAATGCGCAAATTTTGATCAACCCGGAAAAACAAATCCAACACAAAAAATTAAAAAGCGAATAATACGAAAAATACGGAAAACGAATGGATAAATCTGGCTTGAAGCACTAACGCTTAATATCCTCAACCAATCAGAACTTGGGGGAATTAGTAAATTCCTCACTTCCTTAATTTATTTGGGGGGAGGCTATAATAATTTCAAATCACCTGATTTCTACCTATTCCCTCATTGATAGATAAATTATGAATTATCATATATCAAGAGTCAGGAATTACATTTTTTGATCAATACATACAAGAAACATGTAGCATAAATACCCTCTCATAAATTTACCCTAAATATCTGATCTGTCTGCGGTGTACATGCGTGGCTTGCGTAACATGGATCAAATAAGGCTAACATGAGAAATTAAATGAACAGTGATAGTTCTGTTCTTTCCAGTTACGTATTACCTTCGATATACTTGATAATACCTCAATAATACCTCAATGAATGCGCGTGAACCTCACAGACTTGATCTGTCCATTGTTCCTGGTAAATGTCTTGGATGGTTCCGACTAGGTGAGTAAAAAAGGCACACACTATTCAACAAATAGTTTTCGCGTTCTTACCAATTACTTATAGGTACTTCAATTTGGGATGTAATCAATTCTTTGAGGGATCAATCTCGTTCGATGCCCTCTGTAGATTTTAAATATAGTGAAGAGGTAAAAATTTATCGTCTATTTTCGCAAACTTTTTTTTTTTAGTTTATCGGCTTTAATTTGTGTTTTGATCTTTTTAAAAAGTCGCCATTATCAATAGATTTATTTATTTCTTTGCCAGGAAATGGTATGCATCTTCGATTTGATGCTCCAACGCAACGACTCAAATCAATAGAAGTTTATGATTTCTCGAAGGTGCGTCTCGCATATCAAGATAGCGAAGTCAGGTGTGTGGTATGTCATTGTTGTTGAATTTTAGGTTCTATAGAAGAAATAATGAATTACGCGTTTCTTGATGATCTGTATGTAATTCCTTGCATTAGCTCAAGTAAAGTGGTCCCGAATTGTCTTTTGATCTATGAAATTTTTGGGTATGTGTCACAAATCATTTTGAGTTCTTCTCTTTCTAAAGCTTACTAATTGGGTTTAATGTAATCAGACCTACTTATCCAGGAGAATTCGACCCTGAAAAAAAAGAATATACTCTAAATTATCCGGTGAGTTTCTCAACAGTCATAATTATGTTGTAATACTAAGTTTAGCGAGATCTCCGAAAATTATTATTATTATAACATAAAAAAATCGATTGAATTCCAAGTCTACTTAAATTGGATTTAATGGCAAAGTCGCGTTACTTAATTGCACCCGTAAAGATATTAAAAAAAGGTGATTTTGGTAGAATTCACAAGGGACAATATTTTGCTTGTTTGATGCTTTATAGAATCAAGAATCTCTTCAGAATATATTTCGAGACTCTTAAGAAGTAGATTGCGGAATTTCAGAAATATTCACTTCAACAAAATTTTCAACACTTGTTTGGCTCAAAGGGTGTTTCTTTTGTATTTCCAATTCCGGAAGAATATCTTTCGATTATAAAAACATCAGCGGGTAAATGTGTCAAGACCATTGATGATTCTCGCCTGCTTTTGTAATCTAATCAAAATCACCTTCCATGTTAGACCTTCCTTTGGAGCTCCCGGATGGAACATCTCCATTATTGTCGCATTTGTATATATACCATGGAACCAGCTTTCGATCTACTATTCCCCCTCCTTTGATAAGAAGCAGTAATGCAGACGGAATTGCAGCCAGCACAGAAGAGGTTGGGGAAGTCGAAACTGTTATTGCAAAGGTAAAATTTATATTTCATTAGATATGTGAAAACTATTCTTTATCCGGTCAATTAATAAAAATTATTCGCACTTAAAGTTGAAACATGGAATTGACGTGAAATTCGTCTCTGCTTTGACCAAAATTGTTTTAAATGTCACAACGCCGCAAGATCTCTTAGTAGAAATTGGTGCTCCGTTACGAGTTTTCTACAAAGAGGAAGATAAAATGCGAATACATTCCGAGGAAAATGTGGCCAAGGCGTTTGATGATGTCGAAAACGCTGGGCCAAATGCTGCAACGAACGGAATTGATGATCGTTCAAGTGCTGGTAATGATAAACTGTTAACGGGAAATTCTTATAACAGGCTGCTGCTATATATTTGAATCTATATATCTTTATCATTTCCCCCAGACGGGCATCCTATAGATTACTTTTATAATTATTTTCATTTGGGATTTGATGTGCTTTTTGATGGGGCTACACATCGTTGTAAAAAAATCGTGTTGCATGGGAATGTGCCAGGACATTATGATTTTCAAAGGTAAAATTCTTGACTAATTGCTCTGTTCAGTTAACCATGTTTTGTTTACTTGACAATCGACCTATTCTGAAAATATAGATATAAAAGATGTCCCTATAAACTAACTGTGCCTCAAACAAATCATGATACAAATCAAGGTATAGAGGGTTAAAAGAATCCTTTATTTTTTGCAAAACATTTTATTTACATCAATCTTGTGAATACGAAAATAGCTGCCCGATTCGATGTCCAAGATGAAGACGACGAAGAAGAGGGGATCTTGGAATCCTTGATCTCTGGAACAAGTCAAGAAAAATATATAACCGGAGATCAGAAGGTACTTGGTCTTTCATGCAATCTCTTTCTTTACGTGAAAATGATCATCGACAACACAATAAATTCAATTAATCTAGATTGACTCGATCTATGAATTGTGGGGGCAACCCAGTGGTAGACCACTAATTTTTAATCGCGGGTCAAGTGGACAAAATCCTTTTGGTCCCACGGAATTAATCGGATATGACGGTGCGATATTTGAGGTAAGTTGTGACACATCGACATCCTTCTATTTATATATTGCCGAAGAAACTTTATTGATTGTATTGCTTTTGAATAATAGATAATGAAAAACAGGCATATCGCTACTATAACCTTATTTTAACTTAGTTATACTAAATCATCATTGGATATATAATATATTTATACGTTTCTACACTTTTCATTTTTTTAATCCCTACCATTTTATGCTATCCATAATTAGATAATATTTACATAGAAAATCGAATTATTATTAATCATAATTACTAATTTCTATCTTGCGCAAGACGACCAAATGCTACAAGATAGAACATACAATAAATAATAATACGTGATAAATCCCAAAAACGCACATTGTTTAAGCAGGTCGCCGCCTCTAATTGTTGCGTGCGACTTACACTGCACCGATTATCATAAATATACAAATTAAAAAAAAATAATGATCGAATATATAATTACGGTAATAATAAGAGTAATGGTGAATATGGTGCATTATTATGGTGAGATATTCTATCATACATACATACACATTATATTAACAATAACAATAAGAATAATCTTTCTATGCTTCCAGTTGAAACCCTATTCCGAATCTTGACGTGCTCTGAAGCGAACAAAATAGAAATTAAAACTTGTACAATTACAGAAATGCGAGATTGAAAATTGTAACTTTTTTACCTTTGCGTGTTCAATATCACCGGTAATTATAAAGGAAAATCCGGGTGCAATTTTCTCTTCTATCACGACACTAACACGACCCGTTGTGTCCAACTGTGTAGACGAAATAAATTTACAATTTAAAAAAAAAGGTGTAGAATGATGGTGTATAATTTCAACAAACTGGTTTACCTGGCCTCTAAACGTTGCTGCACGAAAATCAAATTTTCCACCCTAAAAAAGAACAAGAATTCAAAATTTATATATAGAAAGAAACGCGTGGTCTTGCCCAAAAATTACACACTTACTAATGAGCCGACTGCTTCTCTCCTACCACCAGCGGCAAGAATCTGTAATTCTGTTCCAAAATCAACCTTCTCATTAATCTTTTGATAGTATGAAACCTGCAATGCACCTGGAGCTTGCCATTGCAAAGTAGCAATATAGTCATCAACAGAATGCTTAATGACGAGAGATCTCGTCGTCTCCTCGATGTCAGCTGTCGGCTTCTGATATACTAATTCGGTGCCCAGGGCGAGATTCGGGGTGATTGATTGTAGATAACTCAGCACAAATATTCCTGTATTATCAACTATTGAAGGATTAACCGTTTTGAAATTCAGCGAATAATCTGGACCTTGATAATCTTGCTCTAATTGCAGCATTGAATGCCCAGGAGTTGGTGATAGCTTAACGCGAAACGGTACATGATTTGGTCGTCATATAACCTTATGATGATGATTCTTTGCCAACATAAAAAATAAAAATAAGAATCAGATATGCTTACTTGTGTTTGTACTTTAGACACATTTTTTGGGTTCCACGCATAATTAAAACGCGCCGAAAGATTTCCATCTGTGTCAAGAGTACCATGTAGAAAGGTCTATTGATCAGCGATTGCCATCGAAAAATTCAAAGTCAGATTGGCGCCTGGTGAAAAATTGATTGGCAAATTGAAAATCAAAAAGCAAATGTATAGTAACACTCTGAGAACCTTAGTGCCAACAAAGGCAGCGCCGAAGTTATAAGAAGGTGGCGTCAGAGTTGATCCAAGTGAAAATGTATGAGAAACTTGGAAATTCTGTGATAAAACTTTTGTGAGATCAGCTCTGCCTCCATCGAATAGGTGATTTGTAAGGAATGTGTCTATATGTGTATTAGAAAAGCATGCGAAATAATTAATTTTCAGGTAGGGAATTGCGCATATTGAAATTTGACAGTTTAATAAATCTATCCAAATTCAGAAAAGTGGCGTACTTTTCACCTCCCGATGTAAACCTTCGTATGTGCCGGGATTTGGCAAGTTGAGGGTTTTGTGATAACTTGTTAGGCTACTTAATAACGTTTTTAGGTTCCACGACTTTGCTTGGCCAATTATCTCGGCGTTTTGTATTGAAGAAGGAATTTTATCCCCAGGACTAGCCATTATTTTAACTATTTTCTGTAAGATAAATAGAAACGCGTCAAAATTCAGGGTGAAGCGAGAGTTCGTATGGTGCGAAATACTATAATGTATATTTGCACAAAAATTTTCTGATCTGTGTAACATTCCAATTGTTATTGACATGAAGATCCGGTGTTTTTTGATATGTTGTGCCTCACGTGTTCATTTTCGGACAACATTAACCCATCTCCCAGCATTAACGTTACCCAAACTCTAGTAATAACCCCTATCTTAATTTGGGCTGAGGCACAACAGTTAATATACTTGATATAACAGATTTATTAATAAAGTCAAAATGGAATGAAATCGAGGTTCTCTATGTATTGATATTAAATATTTTCAAATATTTAAAACATGAAGTTGCTAAGGAAAGTAACTTTTATTAGATGATTTCAATTTATTATAAGGATTATCACATTCATTCTCATATAATATATTAAGATACTGATAATCTTTTTAATATTTATTTATAATATTTTTTATACAATTAAATACACTTATTATATTAATTTACAATTATATTTTACTTTAAATTATTAAATAACTACAAAAGAATTTTATTATAATAATATAAAATATATATAATAAATAACAAAAAATTATATAGATATAAAAGAAAATAAAATGTTTGTATTAATTCTAAAAATAAAAATTATTTGTTTTAATAATATAATAACAATCAGAAATAATATAATGATGTCAAAATTTATTAATTAAATATAGTAAAATATAGATTTTTTTCTTTATATAAAAGTTTTCAATTTTATTAATAAATATTTTTTATTTTTATATTAAAATAAAGAAATATTATATATTTTAACATACAGTGACTAACAGAATTATGAAATTACACATGTGAGTTTATTAATAAAATATAATAAAAATTGAAATTTTTGTTTTAGATAAAAATTTTTAATTTTTGTTTTAGATAAAAATTTTTAATTTTATTAATAAATATTTTTTATTTTTATATCAGAACAAAGATTATAAGTTATAGTTCAATATATATTTTCTAGATTTTTTCTGACAAAGTTGTTCTAATTGCAAAGTTATTGCAAAAATTTTTTATAATTAAAATGTAAAATTAATTATAAAAAATTTTTGCAATTAGAACAACTTGTCAGAAAAAATCTAGAAAATCCAGAAAAAATATATATTGAACTATAACTTATAATCTTTGTTTTGATATAAAAATTTATTAATAAAATTAAAAACTTTTATCTAAAACAAAAATTTCAATTTTTATTATATTTTATTAATAAAATCACACGTGTAATTTCATAATTCTGTTAGTCATTGTATGTTAAAATATGTAATATTTCTTTATTTTAATATAAAAATAAAAAATATTTATTAATAAAATTGAAAACTTTTATATAAAGAGAAAAATTCATATTTTACTATATTTAATTAACAAATTTTGACATTATTGCATTATTTCTAATTGTCATTGTATTAGTTATTCTATTTAGTAATACTAAAAATCATCTTAAATTTACCAGAATTCAGATATATCAAGAAATATTTTTTGATAAATTAAATTATTACAAATAAATCACAAATAAATAGTATAATAAATAATTAAATAAATTATGAATATTATTAAGAATTATTTTTATCAAATGAAACTAAGATAATATTAGAATATCAAAATTTTATCAAAAATCAATTTCATATGAAACAAATATATAATTTATTAATAAATATATACAGTGGCAATCAGAAATAATGCAACGACATCAAAATTTACTAATTAAACATAGTAAAATGTGTATTTTTCTCTTTATATAAAAGTTTTCAATTTTACTAATAAATATTTTTTATTTTTACATTAAAATGAAGATAATA